GGAAGATAAAGCAGTGTTCCTATGTTTCTTGACCTCGCCTTATGAAGAAATATTGAGAAAGCACTAAGCACCTCCGCCTTAACTTTGCCTAGCGTGAGAACGGTACCCATTAGAGCTGGGTGGTCTCAGTGTAGTTCTGCAGTCTTGAGTCCGGATTGGATTTTTACTAAAGACCTTCGGATTAGCAGGCTTTCGACCACAGCGTCGCATGCCAATGACTAGAAGGTCACGTTTCAATATCTAGAATGTCTATACTGAATTTGAGTAATAGCAATAACTATAATTCAATAACACATGTGACATATGTATCTAATCAAAAGTTAATTATCCAGTTATCTTATGTGTTTTCATATAGTCCATGTAAATGATTATTGCAGTGTATGTCTGACTGTTTGTCCTTGTCTCTGTTAATGTTTTATGTGTCTTTGAATTTAAATCGGCAAGTCTTAGTATATATGGACGAGTTTATATAGCGATCAAAGCAATTTTTTTCGTGTTTTCGATTTTAAAATTTATATCCACATCTGTTGTATAATACAGCACAATAAAAAACTCACATAATATATCATCATACATATAAATCCGATACGGGGGGGGGGGGGGGGGGGGGCGGCAAGGTCGGGCTGACAATGTACGTGGGTAGTTTACATAAAAATCACCAACTCGAACCCTCCCCCCCCCCCCAGTAGATGATGATCCATAGCAACCCATGTAAAAAAAAGTAAATGTTTCCCTTTCAAACCTGACGGTCTATGGGGAAAGTGAAGTAGTGTTCACTTGTTTCTGTGACCTCGGCATATGAAGCACTATGCCCAGCCGCCTTTACTTTCCCATCAGAGTTGGGTGGACTCAGGGACGGTCTACTGACTTGAACCCGGATTCGAAATCGAGACTTACGGGTTAGCAGTCCAGCTCTCTACCACTAGACCACTCGGTCCTAATAGCAGCCCATGTAGTAAAGAAAATTCCGAAAATCGAGGAACTGTGGTTTCATCTTGGATGGACAAAGGCTATGGAAATATATTTAAAAGAAAAATTGTGGCAGGAATCGGAGTCAGTGGCGTATGCAGGGGGGGGGGGGGGGGTAGGGGGGGGGGTCATAATCCCCCCCCCATAGACAATGCAAATCGAAATTTTGAGGGGGGGGGGATGCAAATCAAAAGGTTTGGGGGGGGGGGTGCTAATCGAAAGTTTGTCCCCTGGTAAAAATTCGAACCCCCCCCCCCTATGAGACGATCCTGGCTACGCTACTGATCGGAGTCAACTGGCCATATGTCGCATAAAGTTTTGACACGCTTTACTTAATTGTATTGGATGCAATCCAGTCTAACTACTATTAAAATCGAAGAAGATGAAACCCGACAGAAAACAAGTTACAAGTTTATCAGGTCTGGAGATAAAGACAGAATTCTACCTCAGTATACAATAAATTATGGGTTATTTATCGGTAAGATAATTCAGAAAATCTAAACCTCCCATGCTAACAACAACTGTTGACATTACTCAAAGCGTAAATATCTCTATTTTTCATGCTGTGTAGGTATTAATAAAGCATGAGTGATCTCCCCTAAACTTTCTCGAATATTCTCGACAGAAACTAGAGAATTAGGTCATTGATTTACGCATGAAACTTCGTCTACTTAATTTGAAACAGTACTGAATGTATAGGATTTAAAAAAAACGAAAGAAGAATACGTGCCACCAGAGGCGTAGCGAGGGCGGAGTGGGGGGTGCGAACCGCACCGGGTGACACCATATAGGGGGATGACACCAAGGCAAAAAGAATTGCAAAATGTACAGAAGAAAAATGCGTTATATATATATATATATATATATATATATATATATATATATATATATATATATATATATATATATATATATATATATATATGTATATATATATATATATATATATATATATATATATATATATATATATACTTTGACTTTTTTCGGGGGGGGGGGGGGGTGACACCACGAAGTGCCGCACCGGGTAACACCCAACCTAGCGACGCCACTGCGTGCCACTTTCCTTCAATGCAAATCGCTGAAAAGTTGATATATTACAGCTAAACATTTAATATAATAATTATTCTTGAAATTTCGTCTACCTAGTAGTAATAGTACTAATTTACCGTGTTTACAGACACACAAACACACACACACACAAACAAACACACACACACACACACAACCACACACAGAAATACAGACAAACCGCAAAACAAAGTTTTTTTTTATCAGTGCACGCTTACAATACTTTCTTCATAGGTCTACTTTGTATTCGAGAGAGTAAAGCTAAAGTAACACAAATATAAAGTTGATAATTGAGGTTTTTAATAGATACAAATAAATGAAAATTTTGATATTGTTGATTAATTAAAAAAATTAGACAATTAAAAACAAAAACATCGATTTTTAAAATAGCCTTTAGACAATCAGTGTTCCTTTCAGATTTTTTTCTCGGAGGGGGGGGGGGGGGGGCACTTGAAATTTTCGGGGGGGGGGTGTGGTGGAGCGGACACACTTAAAAGTATTTATGTTCTATATAAATTCCATTTCATGTCATTGATTAAACTTATCTACTGACGTTCAAGCTAAGACGACAGGAGGTCTATATCGATTGGCAGACATATTGAGCTTTGATAATTATATATAGGTTTACATATATGTCTCTTTGTCCTTGTTTAAGTTTTTGTATATGTCTATGTTTAAGATTCTATATATGTCGCTGTATATGTATGTATTTATATTTACATTAAGGTAGAAAACGGAAAACTATGTGAGATGAGTTGACAGGAAACAATAGGAAAGTAAATCATGGAAAAGCATGGCTTGAGCATGCACGTAGGAAAGACATTGTCAATGGAGCTAGACGGACCTTGAAATGGAACCCAGTGGGCTAGCGTTACATAGGTCGACCCAAGAAGACATGAACGACGTAGCGTGCTGCGAAGGCTGAAATGATACTAAGGAATCGGAAACACTTGAAAAGATGCCTTATGCTACAAAGAAAATAAAAAGGATAAGTGATGATATCTATTCATACGACTACGTCTTTACCTGTGTTATATTGTATATCATGTATATGTATATATGCTTTTGTAAGTAGTATTTTATGAATCTGACGGCGCCTATGTTTAAGTTTTATATATCTAAATTGCCATCAGAATGAATGTGTCTGTTTAGTATATACCCTTGTCTAACTACTTGACTATAACTTCTGTCTATCTTCATCTCTGTCTATGTCTATATATTTGTATATATTTGTATGTGTATATCCATTGGTCTCTAAAAAATGTAGTATGTAGTGAAATATAGCTTAGGCGTTGCGCCAAAGAAACACGATAAAGTCGCATGTTTGTCAGAAAGACAGAAAAAAGACAGAAAGAAAGACAGACAAACAGACAGACAGACAGACAGGCAGACAAGGAGGCAGGCAGGCAGGCAGGCTGGCTGGCTGTCTGACTGACTGACTGACTGACTGACTGACTGACTGACTGACTGACTGACTGACTGACTGACTGACTGACTGACTGACTGTCTGACTGACTGACTGACTGACTGACTGACTGACTGACTGACTGACTGACTGACTGACTGACTGACTGACTGACTGACTGACCGACCGACCGACCGACCGACTGACTGACTGACTGACTGACTGACTGACTGACTGACCGACCGGCCGACCGACCGACCGACCGACCGACCGACCGACTGACTGACTGACTGACTGACTGACTGACTGACTGACTGACTGACTGACTGACTGACTGACTGACTGACTGACTGACTGACTGACTGAAATTATTTCTTTATTCAAAACTCAAGCGTCATTTTCGAGTTTTATTTTGTTTTCAGCCGAGTAAAATGTTTTTGGTCTTTCACATAGATTCAAAGGGATTTCACGTTTCAAGTTTGAATATCTTGATCTTTACTTAACTCGTTTCAAGTTATTGAATGCTTATTTAACCAAGTAATTTAATTTGCAACGGAGATTTGCCTATTGTTAATGTAACCTACGTGTGTCTCTTTTTTTAATATCAACTCGCCGTTTAAAGCTGAGACAACTCGCCGTTTAAAGCTGAGGCACTGTCGGAAATGGGTAAGTTCGTTTTTTAGGTAAAATTAAGTGTTTCGTGACAACTGGTATACTATTTAAACACAATTTACAAGTGAACAGTTAAGTAAAATACCCATTCGAAATGGTAGTTTATGGGTAAGGGAAAGAAGAATTTTAACTGTTTCAGTTACCTCGACATGTGAGTTTGGTACCCATCAGTGCTAAGTGGATAGCAACACTCGGCAAAGTTTAGAAGACATCTGACTACGCTATTTCTATGTTGAAAATATTAATTTTACATTATAAAATGTGATGTTAAGTTAGAAATTGTGAAAAACTTAGTATTGTATAGAATTAGTATTAGAGTTTCAATAGTTTAAATTTTCAGCATTCTTTTTTCAGAAAACTTTTCGAAATGCATATATATATATATATATATATATATATATATATATATATATATATATATATATATATATATATATATATATATATATATATATATATATATATATATACAATTTACATATTTTATTACATTGTTTCAGAAAATATTTAACAAGAAATGATAACACTTTTTTCAAAACGTTCAAACACTATAGTGTTTGGCTCACGTTCTACAAAATGCGGTTTCATTTTCATTATAGCTATGAGCATAATTTCAATTGGTTTCATGTATGTTGAAAAAGAAAAATACTTCTTTTCAACAAGTATCAAGGCTTCACAAATCGTGAGTAGAAAATCTCAGGAGTTACCCTATTTAAAACGAATTAAAGAGCTCAGCTCTTTGTACCAGTTACAGAAGTTCGATTGTTTACAATTGTTTCAAAAAAACAAAACTTACATTAACAAAGCGAGAAAGTTGAGAAAAACCATCACCTCGAAATTTTCCGATGATTATTATTTGAACGCGACAACGGATTGTCACGATTTTCAGATGTCACGTGGTTACATCATGTCGTCCTTGACCCTAGAGGAAGAAGAGTTCCCCATCGCTTACACCATCATGGCGTACACACACTCTGAGATGGTTGAGAGGCTACTGCGGGCTATCTACAGGCCACAGAACTATTACTGTATTCACGTGGACAAAAAAGCGCCAGAGAAGTTTTATTTAGCTATTTCAGCCATAGTACAATGTTTTCCCAACGTATTTTTAACGTCTAGAAGAATCGACGTCGTATGGGGCTTGTTCTCTGTTCTAGAGCCCGAGCTAATCTGTATGAAAGAACTCTCTCGCTACAAGAAATGGAAATATTTTATCAATCTCACTGGACAAATGTTTCCTTTGAAAACAAATTATCAGATTGTTAAAATACTGAAAGCATTCAGAGGGGCCAACAGTATTAATGGAACTATAAAATAGTAAGTTTCGTTGTTTGTTAGATACATTGTATTGCTATACCAATACTGAAGCAAATTTATAACCATTGACACGTCCAAATACTGAATTTAAGTCCTAATTTTGACCAAAATATACGTTGGCATCAATCATATTTCAACCCAGAAATCAAAGTATAAAATTTCGTTTGAACTTGATATAACTAAATTTGACTCAATCGTTCAAAATATTTTAAAATTTAGTCGTTTTTTACATACAAAATGGGTCGAAAATTTATATTGACAAACGCTGACAGGCCAAGTATGTCGGAAAAGTTATCGTTTCATAATTATAGTATACTAAATTTTGTTACAATAAGAAATTCATTTTAATTCAGTACGTTCAATTGTACTAAGAAAACGTAGCAGTTGTGAGCTATGTCCTTTAACTATGTATTTTATAAGTAGTCACTGGTTTTCTTGCACAGTTTTAGGATAACATTTCTAAAAAATATATTTCACAACAAAAACAGAATAATGTGTTTTTTAATAGATCGCCTTAACATTCCAATCCATCTGTTATCAGTGTATACGAAGAGCGTTGGATGTTTTTAATAGATCGCCTTACATTCCAATCCATCTGTGAACAGTGTATACGAAGAGCGTTGGATGTTTTTAATAGATCGCCTTACATTCCAATCCATCTGTTAACAGTGTATACGAAGAGCGTTGGATGTTTTTAATAGATCACCTTAACATTCCAATCCATCTGTTAACAGTGTATACGAAGAGCGTTGGATGGGCAAAGCTCCCCCTATGGGAATCCGTCTGCTGAAAGGATCTCTTCATATAGCAGCCAACAGGTTTGTGTTCCAATACAGCAGTGGCGTAGCGAAGTCGGGTGTCACCCGGTGCGGCACTTAGTGGTGTCACCCCCAGATGCATAGCGACCCTTCCCGGGGACAAACTTTCAAATTTTCGATTTGCACCCCCCCCCATCTCAAACTTTCGATTTGCACCCACCCCTCAAGTTTTCGATTTGCACCCCCCTCAAACTTCCGATTTGCACCCTCCCCCTCATGTTTTTCTCTATATATTTTGCTATTTTTTGCCTTGGTGTCACCCCCCCTAAATGGTGTCACCCGGTGCGGTCCGCACCCCGCCCCCTCGCTACGCCCCTGCAATACAGCAAAAAATTTCAAATTTAATTTGAAAAACGTTATTGATAGTTAATATAACATTGGAATAACATTGGCTAAGTCTAGCTCATCTAAGGTAGGAAACTTTTTAAATTGTTATAATACGAAGTATAGAGGTAGTTTTACATTTTTTTCTAAAATCGAAATCGAGATTTTTACAAATCCCGACGATTTACCACTTAGCTGTGTTGGGAAAAAAAAACCACCATATTTTTGAAATTTTGTCTCCAAGTGTTTGTGTCTATCAGTCTGTCCGTCGTTCTGTGAACATGATTACTTAAGTATCGTATCAGCTATGTTCATGAAATTCCATATATAAATAGTATATCAAATTTGATGATTGTATCATCTGTCAAACAATTTTCTTCCTGCTCGTCATTATTCTTCTCCTCAACCTAAAGTAAATTTGTGACGCTGTCTTTCTGAGACATCACTGAATGTTTAGAGTGTTGCAAGTGAGAAATTTTTTTTTAGCTACGCCAATACCTTGTCGCCTATTAATATAGAAATTAAAAATGTGTATTGAATAATAATTGTTCCGTAAAACTAAAAATTGTCTCGAAAACTAGCGGTTTTTAGATATTGTTAGTAAAGTCAATATTTTAGCATATGAAGGATTTGTATTCAAAATACAAATTAAGTACACATGTAAAAAAATAAATTCTGACGCTTTCTTTTTGAGGCGCCAGTGAAAATATAAATAGGTGCAATCTATGCCAAATTTTTCGCCGCATATAAAGATAGGAATTCTGAAAGTGCACCAAACCATGATTGTTTTGTTAAAGGAAATATTTTTAGAAAGCTAGACCTTTTCAAATATTGCTTACATGACAATATATTCACAAATCATTTGTATTCAAAATAGAAAATGAAATTATTAGAGTCGTAACATACTCTTTGCTTTAATATTCGTCTAGAGATTTTGTGAACTATGTACTTTACAACGACACTGCTAAAAAATTTCTTGAATGGACAAAAGATACAGAAATCCCTGACGAAACGTTTTTTTCTTCACTCAACTACAACCCGCAGCTCGGGATAAAGGGAACATTTAAAGGTAAGCAACTCAGTTATTGATGGCACAAGCAACAGTTATCTAGAGAAGGCATACCTTGCATGTGGAGACAGAACAATTATTGTTTGAAACCTGTTCATATACTAAAAGAAAACAATGTTTTTTTATAGTCTTAGTCCTTCGTAGCATTATATTTCCCCCAAACAAAATTTTTAATTTTTAATAAAAGAAACATTTAAATACAGCTATCACTATCGTTATCTTCGCTTTGTTTTATGCAGTATAATAGATTAGAAGTATCTGTAGGCGAAGCAGTTTAAATTGTTAACATTATATTTAGTCACTAATGTTGCTGCTTCCCTAAAAATCTGTTGAATACCTATATATATATATATATATATTTATATATATATATATATATATATATATATATATATATATATATATATATATATATATATATATATATATATGTATGGCTTTCTTCTTCTTCTTCGTTCTTAATTATTAGTGTTGAAGGGGATCGAGATTTATCTGCCAGTGGGTTTGAACTCGAGACTTTGTTCGAATTTATCAATCATGAGCTTTTTGCCGACTCGACCACGCCTCCAACACAATTAAGCTTTACGTGTCAACTGGTTATACGCCATTGAGGCCATTGACTCCGATTTCAGCCTGCTTTTCTTTTTTGGATTTGCTTCCATAGCCTTTGTCCAACCAAGAACAAACTACAAGGCAGCAGTTGTTTAATTTTGGAGTTGTCTCTCCTAGAAGAGTGGCTGTCCCCAGCTAACGAGCCTCATCTGCCCGAGGGTTTGAACTCGAGACTTTTGGGTTAGCAACCATGAGCTTTACCGACTCGACGACGCCGAACCCTAATATATGACCAAAATATGCCGTATAAAAATAATTAACTGTGCATTTTGTGTCTTTTCTAAAAAAAAAGACAATAAATAACTAAAATAAGTTAATCCGCATTGTTTGACAATACCAGGTGACCCTGACGATGTGCATGAGTACGTAGCCAGGTACACGATCTGGATCATGACGAAAAAGCTGTGTGCTGGAAAATTTGTCAGACATGTTTGTATACTTAGTACAGGTAATGGATGCGTCTAGTTACACAATAGTTACACAATAGCTTATAACTTTATACTTAGTACAGGTAATGGATGGGTCTAGTTACACCAGAGTTTATAGCTTTATACTTAGTACAGGTAATCGATGGGTCTACTTACACAATAGTTTATAGCTTTATACTTAGTACAGGTAATCGATGGGTCTAGCTACACAATAGTTCATAGCTTTATATTTAGTACAGGTAATCGATGGGTCTAGTTACACAATAGTTTATAACTTTATACTTAGTACAGGTAATGGATGCGTCTAGTTACACAATAGTTTATAACTTTATACTTAGTACAGGTAATGGATGCGTCTAGTTACACAATAGTTTATAACTTTATACTTAGTACAGGTAATCGATGGGTCTAGTTACACAATAGTTTATAACTTTATACTTAGTACAGGTAATGTATGCGTCTAGTTACACAATAGTTTATAACTTTATACTTAGTACAGGTAATCGATGGGTCTAGCTACACAATAGTATATAACTTTATACTTAGTACAGGTAATCGATGGGTCTAGCTACACAATAGTATATAACTTTATACTTAGTACAGGTAATCGATGGGTCTAGTTACACAATAGTTTATAACTTTATACTTAGTACAGGTAATCGATGGGTCTAGCTACACAATAGTATATAACTTTATACTTAGTACAGGTAATCGATGGGTCTAGCTACACAATAGTATATAACTTTATACTTAGTACAGGTAATCTATGGGTCTAGTTACACAATAGTTTATAACTTTATACTTAGTACAAGGTACTGGATGGGTTTTGTTGTAGAATAATTTATTCCATCATACTTAGTACAGGAAATGGACAAGTGTACTTGCACAGTTGACATCGTTCTTAGTCTGGACCTTGTAGTGTGTAGTTACACAATTAACATCATACTTGGGTATACTAGTTGGGTGTATTTCCTCAATTTAGCATCATACTTAATAAAGGTTGCCTACTTGTAGGATGTAGATAAACAATTAATTATAACATCATACTTAGTTGAGTCAGTGTATGGTTGTGACTACACAATAATTAATAACTTACTCGAAACTTTGAAAAGATTAAGTTTTATCAAAAAGAAAGGCAAACGCAAACAGACACACGAAAAAAAATCTATTTCCTACAAATTCAAATGTCTGAAATGTAATTAATGAACGTAAAGAGAAATAGTTTCGTTAACATTTATGTCTACAGGGGATCTACCCAGGCTCGGCCAAGCCAAAGAACTATTCGCCAACAAATTTTACCTACACGAAGACAGGCTTGTGATTGGTTGTTTGGAGGAGAAGATCTACAACGACACGCGCGATGTGTACATGGGGGTCAAGGACGTCAACACCAGCTTTTATGAACGTTTGAATTTTGTTCAACATCAGGTGGAAAATAGTACCTGGAGGTCATGAACTTCTACAGCAAGTTTTATGAATATTTGAATTTAGTTCAAGATCAGGTGGAATAAAGTATATTATATTTATGCTTTTCAATACATTTTCATCAAGTTTATTTGCTTCGTATGTAGTTTAGGACTAATACACGTTGAACACTTTAAGGAGATCGACTTGATTTAAAATAATTTCTTTATCGGCATTCCAGCCGGTCGTCACAATTCGTCAACAATATCTACTTTCAGTATATTGAAGTTTAATGAAAAATCACAGCCACAATCTTTACATGTTTGTTTAATTGTTAAAAGTTTGCAAATACTTCTGTTTGTAACAACATATGGTGTATAGTTTAAATCAATCATTTGGTTTGTATATAATAAAATGAGGCCAGTAAAATGACACAAACGATATCTTCTCTTTCTGTTTTTGTTTTAGTATTGAGTAGTTTAACTTCTATATATGAGTGTCATACTTTTGCAATTGATCACATATGAAAGCTGAACTACAAATTTACTGTAGCAGATGTTAGTATTGTCGTGCATTATAAAAGACGATAATCTATTTCCATTTAGTGTAATCAATAACCCTTTAACATTGAATCTATTTAAATGTGTATCTTAAAATATATATTCTATTCTATTTTTTCTTACAAATCTTATAACTGAAGACATGTTATCTTAAAGAATCGATTATTTACTATTACTTGCTATAGGAATTCTATAAACATATATTAGAATATTTTTTTCCTTATAACATTAATGACAAATAAAGCGGGAGAAAATTTCATATAATATTTATATATGAAATTTCACCAACATAACGGTACTCAAGTTATCCTGTTCACAGACACACAGACAAACAGACACAAACACAAACTAACAAAACAGACACACATACACACACAGACATACGGATAAAATTGCAAAACTAAGCTTTTCACACTTACGGAGGTGTAAACTGTCGAGATTAATGAACATGTCGATTTCGGTTTTTCGCACAATTACAAGACTTCTTCTATACTTCGTATACGATAAAGTAAAAGGAAATAAATATTATGAAATCTATAACAATAAATTTATTTGATGCTTTTATAATTGAAATTTTATGCACAAGCTAATCTTCGAAATTTTCAAAGCTATTTTCGAAAATTTTAATAAATTTATAAAAAATTAGCTAGGCATCCAATTAATTCAAACGTGATGCCAGACTGCATTGTTTTTGGGTCTTGATCCACGTCCCGAAATTGGTCGGTTAGAAGTGCTCGAAATATTCGTTCGCCCGTTTCGAGGTATGACAACTTGACTAAAAGACGACACTCAGAGGTAGCAAGTTTAATAAAAAAGCTTGTAAAAAAATCGATACTACTAATATTGTTATTGTATCTTCTTCTTCTTCGTTCTTAATTTTTAGTGTTGGAAGGGATCGAGCCTTATCTGCCAGAGGGTTTGAACTCGAGTCATTTTCGAATTTATCAACCATGAGCTTTTGCTGACTGACCACGCCTCCTACGCAATTAAAGATACGTGTCAACTGGTTATGTGAAATTGACTCCGATTTCAGCCTGCTTTTCGTTTTAGATTTGCTTCAATTAAGAACAAACTAGCTTAGTTCTAGCTGTCCCTCGCTAACGAGCCTCCGAGGATTCGAACTCGAGACTTTTCGGATTAGCAACCATGAGCTTTACCGACTCGACCACGCCGAGTAAGTGCTTTTAGGATTTCTATTGTTAAACGGTTGGCGTTCGGAATGGATGAATACAGCTCAAGAATAAAACATTACAGGGGACTGTACTATGACAATCTTTCTTAGTATGATTTTCATATTTTGGTCCCCTATAAATATAAATGTTTGACTTCACTGGATTGGTTATCCGACGTAAGTAAATTTCCTTGCCTTTGTGTTTGAGTAGCCTACTCAAAATCAGTGTTGCTACCAGACGTTTTTCTTCGGGGGAGGGGGGGGGGGGCACTTGATAATTTTGGGTGGGGGGAGCGGAGTAAATTTTCCTATGGGGGGGGGGGGCGGACACTGATAAAAGTATATACTTTCTATTTAATTCCATTTCATTGGGAGAGATGCCTGAAAGAAACTCTGCTCAAAATCTACAACCGGGACTTTAGATAGCTTTGCGCCAAATGAAATCAATTTTGTCGAGGTCTAGTTTTGATACTAGTTTGAACCTAATGTCGCAATAAATCCTGGAAACGAACTGAATTCCTTCGCGCAGTTAAGTTGAAATGAAGTAGATTGTCATCCATTTTTGCTGCATTTCATATACGATTTCGTCGTTTGTTATATTAAGAGTCGGCTAAAGTTTAAAAATAATTTTAATATCTTTTATATTTTGTAGTCGTTAAGCGTCATTCTGGAAGAGCTTTATTTCTTGCAATGGTTCATTAACCCAATTTGCCGATAAAAAAATCAATAAAAAACCCACCAGTTTCCCCCTTATCCTCGACAGTGTTTTTTGACCTCCTTTATGGGGTTAGTTACCTAAAATATTTCTACATCATTACATTATTTATTTGTTGGATTTCAATGTTAGGTAGGTAAGTTGAATTAGATCCTTATGGATTTTCAAATACTTCTGATGCATTGATCCTATTAAAACTTTAGGTCCATTGATCTCTTTGACGCGTTTGAAACTACTGAATCACTTGATTATTGAATCCCTCTGATAACAGTCAATCTTTTCATATTCTTTATTCTCGTCGACAAAGTAGGGTAATACTGTTTGTGGTTTCAATTAAAGACGACAAAACAAATCAGATGTATTTCTAAATAAGAAAATTATTTATTGTTTCGGTTCAAGCTGTGTAAGTGTTCAATTATTTATGTTTTATTTCTCACAGTTACACAGTTAAAAATATACAATGAGAGACTTCACAAAAGCAATAGCAGTGTTTTCGGGTACGATTGCCTTGGTTAACTAACTTGTATTTTTTAGAATACAATCAACACAATTATGTGGCTATATACGTCTTGCAGTTATTAATCACTGATGATAGAGAATAGTTTAAAACCTCATACCATTAATTGTCATTGTTTTGATTAAACACTGAAACTCAATCATCGTGACATATATATATATATATATATATATATATATATATATATATATATATATATATATATATATATATATATATATATATGTGTGTGTGTGTGTGTGTGCGTGTTTGTGTATGTACGTGTGTACGCGTGTGCTATGGCATAATATCTATTTCAATTGATTTTTCAGTTCACGAGCAATCAACCCAGGCTAGGCCAAGCCAGACAAATATTCACCAAAACAATTGACCTACCTACACAAAGACAAGCCTGCGATTGGTTATTTGGAGAAGATTTTTTTATAACACGCTTGATTTGTACTTATGTAGACTCCAACAACAGCTTTTAAAATCAGCTGAATTTTGCTGAGAATAAAATGATACAGGGGTCTACTGATGTTTAAGTAAATTAATCAAGATTCAGGTGATTCAGAAATTTAGATTTTTTTTTTAAAGAAAAAGTACTTTCCTATCGAATTCAATTCCGTATTGATAGGCGGTTCCAGGACGATTCCTTGTCTGTGGATTTATTTAATTGTTTTGGACAGATTTAACCAAAATATTAATTTTGGTTCAAAGTAGCGCAAGCGGGCAACACATAGAAGACTTTGAGACTCAGTATTAATAAGCCTCTAATCCATTATTTTAATTCGATGAAATATCCCTTTCAGTAATGAAATACAAAAAAATAAATTCAAAATGGCCGATTACAATCGTTCGCGATTCTTGACCCCAATAATCAATGTCAGATGACTAAATGTTACCATTGGTGACTTTTATTCTACTAGTTTAAAAAACTATTCTTCAAACGTCGTTGAGGTCATTGATTTAAAAACAATATCAAATAATTGTTCTGTTTGTATCAACTAAAGCTCTTTGTTGACTTGCGGGTAAATGTTGCGTTGATAATTGTTTAAAGGACTGTGACGATACGTGTGTCTTTATACTTTACATTGTCTACCTACGTGACTGTGTCCATGACTGTATGTCTATGTATATGTATGTGGTGTGATTTGGTCTCTGTGTCTTTGCCTTCATCTATTTCTTCATCATTCTCTTTGTCATGTCTATGGCAGTCTAAATAACCACTAAGTCCATGTGTTCTGTTCATGTCTTTGTCTATAACATTGCTGTGTGCCTATGTCTTTGTTGCTAATTCTATTCTAGGGATAATGTTTCTATCTAAGCGCTGTGTTAATCAATGCGATGGTTTTGTGTGTGTTAAAGCGCACAACTGCCATTCAGATAGTTTCAAGTAAATAATTTACGTTAGGTAAAATAGATGCGGCTTTGAATAGTACCGACAGTTATCCATTTCAACAGAGAAGTTACAAAATTAGATAACCTCTTCTTTATCTGCCCAATTGACTGCCATGTCTGAAGTGGTAATTTATTTGGTGTGTTAATTAATTAGTATAATGTTAATAATATCAATAAGAAAAAAATACACTTATACAGGTAAATGTTCTTAAAAAAAAAATAACAAAAAAAGTTTCATTTTTAGACCTTCTGATCTGAGGCAGATTAAGAAGAGTTAATATGTTTCTTGACCTCGGCATATGAAGTGATGCAGTGGTCAGCACTTAGTATATTCGCCTTAACTTTCCATAACGTGAGCCAGGTACTCATCAGAGCTGAGTGGACTCAGGGTGGTTATTCAGTCCAGTCCAGACTGAGCTTTGTACTCGAGACCCTCGGGTTAGATACCTTTTGACCACAGCGTCGTATGTTGACAACTAAAATGTCAAATTTTATTACGTATAATAATGTATATTGACTTTAAACAGCAGCAATGGAAATTCAATAAAAACGTGTCGACATGTGTAGCCTATCAAAAATCGATGATCACTCCTCTCCGTTTTTATCTGCAAATGCTCCGTGTAAACGATCGTGTATGTGTATGTTTGCCTGTTTGTCAGTGTTTCCGTAAATGGTTTCTGTAAATGTCGGTATATCTGGGAGGGGGGG